TATTCATTCCATTATCTCAATAATTACATTGTAAGTGCATATTTTTATTGTTTTAAAATGTTTAGTAATATTTAATTCTTTAATTACAATTTTATTTTCCCGATCCTAACCATTTTTAAGAGCAATATTCACGTTTGATTAAAGTTTTTTCCCAACTCCCATAAGAGCCTGTGTAAAAGAGCATAATTTTTAAAATCATTTTTCAAAAAAACTACGTTGTCAATCGATCTGATATTTTTACACAAGTCAGTTTGCATATTTATTAACAGATTTCAATTGCTTTGAAAACATTCTTACCATTTTTCTTTTGGTATCGAACCTCCTTAATCGTTAAAATATCATAGATCATATCACACTTGGTGCATACATATTTTTGTTCCATTAGCTATTAGGATGACGCATGACGGTGCTATTATAAGGAACCATATATTTCTGTTTTAATTAAATAATATCACTTACTTATTAACCGCCTGTGCAATAACGAAACCAGTAGGTTTCTCCCCATCAACATCATCCGACAGAGGTAGTCCAACTTCTTCAGCGGCCTTCAAGATATCCCAGGCCAAGTCGGGCTGGTTGTTGAACCTAGACACTGTTACAGCTCCTCCAGTTCCATGATATTTTGAATCAACAAGCGTGCCAACCTGAAGATTGTTTTCAAAGTACTTATACCACGGTAAGACATCTTCGTAGCTCCATCCTTCATTCCCAGCAGCGGTCCAACTGTCAAAATCAGCAGGAGTACCTCTTGTATGCATCATACCGTTAATGACGCTGCATCCTCCGAGTATTTTACTCCTAGGCCAAGAACATCTTTGATCTTCGTTACCTAGACAAGCTTGTGGTTCCGGTTCGGTCTTGTAGTGCCAGTCAGAGAACTGGTCGTTGCTGAAGATCATCATGTACATGGGTACCTGAGTAGCGGGAGGTTCGTCTATCCCTGCTTCTATCAGCAATACCTTCCAATCAGAAACTTCTGACAATCTTCCTGCTACCGCAGCTCCACCGCTTCCTCCTCCGATCACGACGAAGTCATATTCTTCTTCGGGGATCAGGGTTGGTGTTATACGCTCGCAGATTTCGGAGATAGTACAGGTGTCTCTTATGACGCTTTCTACCAGAGTCATGAACACTAGGAAAGCACTTCCTGCACATACGTCTAGAAGGGAAGGACCCAAGTAGTTGGCTGTGCAACCGCATTGGGTTTCTTGGAAAGGCACCATCTCGTCAAAATTTAACGGACTTGGTGAAAATTCATGGTTTCTGTTGTTTATATAGGCGAATCCTACTGCCAAATTTGCAATCTCGAGTACGTTTTATCTTGCCACATAATCGATGTCTTTGGAAGATAAGACTGCCACGAATTGCTCTAAAGTGGCATGTTGTGATCAGGAAGCTAAAAATAATTCAGTATGGCAACAATAAAATTGATAAATCATTTAATTCAACTGCATAATATATTAAAATAAAAATTAATTAATTACATAGTCCTGTGTAATGATTAACATCATCATTATCAATGGTTTTACTGGGAGTCGATAATGAGTTGAAAAATGTAATTTTTAAATCAACCGCCGTTTTTGTATCTGTTTACACCTTCTTCGAAGATCAAAATTTGATGTGTACTTTGTCAACTAGAATGTTCTGTATATTCAGGTGTGTAAAATTCAGGAGACGTAATGATAAACATAAGTAAAAATATCTTTTATTTCTTTAGTCTGAATGTATTATCTTAATCCAAGAAATATAAAGTTGGACGCGACTTTTTGTTTCGGCAAGCTGAATTTATCACTATGGATGCTAAATATTATGTACCATAACATATTAGTTTCCACAGTCATAAAAATGGGGGGAAGATTGTTTACAGGATGGTTAATTGTATAATTTCTACTTAAATTCACATTTTTCGCTTATACCTTTTTCCGTTCATTTCCACGAGAAAACAGTAAAGCACTTTTTTTTCCATCTTCAAAAGACCTACAAAATTAGCCCTCGAGCGTCAAAAAATATTGATTAGATCAAGTTATAAACAGATGAAGTTTATTTGACTTTTGAATTAAACATTTATAAAATACGTTATTATTACCAGAACGTTTTGGCATCGCATCCTCTCATTCCTTATCATTGTCTAATAACTCACACGAAATATGAAATCAGTAAGTTGAATAGTTTACAAGTTATGGCCTTATAAACAAATTAACTAATTATTAGTCTGGACAATCCCGAGGATCTTCCACAATCGCACTGTTTTTTTTCATGATAGATTTCATAATAACACATTGAAATTTCAAATTTGCAACCTGGATTTTTTTTTATTTTTTGGCCTTAGTTGCAAAATGAAATATACGACGCACGAGCGTGATATAGTTATATATTATTACATATTCGGAAAGCTTATGAAAAGAGCTTTAAGTTAAAAAAAAATCGTCAAGATTCGTTGAAAAACAACGGAGTTACAGACTGTCAAATATATTATTTTCAAGCGAATTTCGCTTATTTAACGGCAGGACTATGAATATTATCGTCATTTTCTTCGGACTCGCTGTCGTTCGCTTCCCCCACCCTTCCGCCGCGCCACGGCTCGCTGAAAATCAAGCGACCCACTGACTTTTGATAATATTTCTTATGCACTTAACATACTTTCACAAATAAAATATTTTTGCCAGGGAAAGTACTCGGGTTGCCGATTATGACAGTATTTTTTTTTGCCGCTACCAACCTAATTTGTTTAACAATCGGCCATCAACTTTGACAAAATCGAAAACTTATAGGCAAAGAAAAAATATGGCATACGCCACTGGATTCTATGTAAAAACTTATTTGATGTCACAAAGATTCACCAAAAAATTGGTTGTAGGTATCTCATAAACAAATTAACTACTTTTTGTCATTTTTATTTATATTTCATTAATTTGATACAGGTATTGAAGTCGAAGTTCATATTTTCCCAACTACCTAAGTGTTGAAAAACAAAAAGGTAGAGTACAAAAATATTTAAACTGTACCTACTTCAAATCGATAAATAAACAATTTCAATTGCGATAAATTCATATATTCATTTATTTATAAAATATGCCCAAGAAATTATGTTATTGTTACTTTTATATTAATTATAGGTACCTATTCTACTTTTTATCTAGATTTCAAGTGATTCAAAATCTAAATATACAAAGAAGGTCGTTGATCATTATCGGTTGTTATATGATATCTTTTATCTACGAATCGACACGTAAATGCTTTTACATATTTTAAACATGCACTGGACACTGGACTGAACTTAACTTTTGAAGGACTAACCCACACAGCACATGACGTCTCTGGGATATCCTCATTTAGTCCTATATATCCTAATCGGGGATCTGAGTCCTCAGGATATCCTCATGATATTTAAATAAGACAAGAAGATCCTATCAATTTTGGGATATCCTAGGCAAATTCTAGAGTGATCCCATCCTGGGATGGTTCTTGGCAGTGATGGTGCATGCGTAGCACATACTTCTATCCTATCTATCTATAGAAGTATGTGGTTATATCATATCCATAGACCATAGACCACTATGAAAAACAAAACTCGGTGATTTGAATAAACTGATGATTGTGAAAATCATCGTTAAAAGTATAATTAAATTCAAAAGTTATGGGGAAAAAAACGGGAAAAAAATTCCTACTTCAACGCCCTCTATCTCCGAAACGATGCGGTTTAGGAAATAAGTTTATATGATGAATGTACATTATTTTAACCTGTTTTATCGATTCCTGAAGTTATCCAGATTAGCCCTGAATCACCCTGTACCTATAGGTTTTCGGGTCTATTTAAAAAATTAATATATCATGCCTCATTTCCTTCTTATTCATACAACTACGAATGGAGATATTCTGCAATTAATTTCTTTTATCTAAATATATATGTATTGTTAAAAATATATTTATATTTTACTTATCTGGAGAAAAATTTATTGGCACTTTCATTTTGTTATCTACATACGTAAAATAATAAGAACACTAAACACATATATGTATATTTTTTATTAACCTAAACACAAATGTTACTTTAAATATATTTGAACACTACATCTTTTTTATCGGCCACAGTCTGCAATTCTAGCCTAATAGGGCATTGTAACCAAAAACTTAATAATTCTTCTGTATAGCCTATCAAAAAGTACATTTTTCTAGCGCTCACGGATCTCTGAACAAGTCCAGCTATTCGAATGATATTATACTGTCTCTTTATAATGATTTCACTGACAAATAAGTTGTGCCAAGTTCCAGTCATAAATTTTCTAATAAAAACGTCTTCAACGGCCGTTTCTGCTGGTCTAATTCCTCCTGCCATATTAGCTAAAATAAAGTATTTCATGAGTTTGGATTCATGAACATTGGGTTCATACTAACAGGTATTCCAAGAATTCCATGATTTACGATGGGCGATTTGATGTGGCGGATTGGCCATTTCATAGGTTAAGGGGAAATCGCCTTTGGGGGTTACTCGATATCGGCCAGCTTGGTTCTTGCAGCATATTGATGTTGTATGTAATAACCGAGATTTATTCAAATGTACCACCTGAAGAAAAGATATTTATTTAATCCATTATATTTGTATTTAAAACATTACTTATAAAATGTTATTTTTAAACCTACATTTTTTCCTAAAATACCTAATCTAGAAATAGGTACTATCTTTTCTAGCATTTTCACTTAAAAGTCCACATATAGCTCTTAGTTAATATTGCAATTAGAGGTTAGGACAAATGTCACCTTTGTCATGCATATGTCATATCATATATCATTGGCTACATTCAACCGACAGAATCGATAACTTGTTCTTTTACTTATTATCTCGATGCCATGGATTATCTAGCGCCAATAAATAATTTGGATTTTTTTAAACATACCAATATTATAAATAAATAAATAAATAAATAAATTCGTTTTAAATACATATTATTATATGTATAGGGAGAGAGAAGTAGTATCGATATTTAGGAGTCTTGTTTACGCTCTTTCCAAAAATTTGATTCTACTTTGTCTCAGTCCCCTGTAATTGCATGTTTATTAAAACCGTTAATAAGTGACTTCAGAGGATATAACTCTCAATTCCAAAGTACATTTCATGTAGTAACAAATATATTTGAATAATAATTCGTAATAATTCTCTATTCTGACACAATACTGCAGTTAAAGGTAATTGGAACAGAATTATGATATCGTTAAAGCAGAATTAATTTATTTTATTTAGCTACACGTAGAGAATTGAATTTAAAAAGGCCACGTTAAATTTATAGTATATCTACTTTAATTACTTACAGCACATATCTCATAGAAATTTAAATTATATTTAAAAAATTGATTATTTCAATGGTTATAAAACATGACACCAAGAGCGCCAGAAGAAAGGGCCCTAGAAGCGGGGCCCAGCCAGGACAAAAGGAGGTCCCACAAAGCGCCTACACCGGCCGCATTTGCGGTCGGGGTAGACGACGGATGGGGCCCACCTACGAAGCCTGTCCAGGCCTACACGAGATGAGGCAGGATAAAGAGGGATAATCCCCCTCGATCCCAAATCATTGAGGCCAATTTCTAGCCATGGAATAATGGCGCGTGTGGTAGGCCGTGTATCCTGTATCCTCCTACAATAAGTTAGCTCATTCTGCCACGATCCGTTGCCTTTGGTTTGTGTTTCTGGTTTCTGTTAATGTTAATATAACATAACCTCACTTTGAGGAGTCAGGGTTTGTTTATATTGATAATTAAAATTGATAATATAAAGAAATTGTTTAATCCGCAATTTTAAATACTTCAATGATGAAGTCTCAAACGGAATATAAACTGAAATCGGCTCCCGAGGACGCAGTTTCAGCTGTTAAATTTGGGCCAAACACCAATCAGTTTTTATTAGTAAGTTCTTGGGATGGTTATGTGAGGTTATACGATGTAACGGCAAATAATTTGAGGCACAAATACGCACATGACACTGCGGTGCTGGACTGCTGCTTCACTGTAAGTTTGTAAGAAATAATAATTATATACTTTGCTACTTCTTTTATTGTTTAGGACGCAGTGCATTCATATAGTGGGGGGTTGGATAATACCTTAAAATCATTTGATTTTAATACTACGAAAGGTATGACCTTACTCAAGTAATTAGTTAATTACTAAAATACATTATGTTTTTTTCATAGAGAATATTGTGGGCACCCACGGCAATGCTATAAAGTGTGTGGAATATTGCAGCGAAGTAAATGGTATAATAACGGGAAGTTGGGACCATCACCTCAAATTGTGGGATCCTCGAACACCAATATGTAGCGGCAGCTACAACCAAGGAGAGAAAGTGTACACTATGGGAGTATGTGGTGAAAAACTAGTCGTTGGAACTGCAGGACGAAAAATATTGGTGTGGGATATCCGCAATATGTCGTATACTTTACAGAAACGTGAATCTAACTTGAAGTACCAAACACGAGCGATTAGGTGTTTCCCCAACAAACAGGGTTACGTACTTAGTAGTATCGAAGGTAGAGTGGCTGTGGAGTATCTGGATACCAACCCAGAAGTTCAGAAGAAGAAGTATGCCTTTAAATGCCATCGGATAAAGGAAGATGGTCTAGAGAAAATATACCCTGTTAATGCAATTAGGTATGATTTTTTTCCAATTAGAATTGTTTTGCGAAGTTAATTCATTTTTATGTTTGGTTATTTTAGTTTTCATCCCATTCACAACACTTTCGCAACGGGAGGATCTGATGGATATGTAAACATTTGGGATGGGTTTAACAAAAAGAGGTTATGCCAGTTTCATCAATACCACACTTCAGTGACTTCTCTCAGTTTTGGCCACAACGGTAAGTAATCGAAAGCATTTTTATAGCATTTGTGTTGATATATAGGGTGTTTCGTGATGGACTGTACAGTAATGGCAGAGTAGAGCAATCTAGGCGAGACGGAATGACCGTTTGATAGTGTCCTGGGTCAAAATTTGTGGATGTAGAGGGTGGTGCTTGAACTTTCAGTGAACATATTTGATTTTCGATCTGTAATAATTTTTTTGTTGTAAAAATATATCTAATGCTTATTTATTGTTTCAGGATCTGTATTAGCTATTGCCAGCTCGTATTTCTTAGAAGAAGACAACCCTCCGAACCCCCTACCTGAAGATATTATCTACATAAGGACTGTTACCGATCAGGAGACAAAACCGAAATACAGCGGTTCATAAACCATCGATCCTTTAATTTTATGGCTTTTTGTAACTATTTTTTATTAGATTAAGTAGATTGTGTATAAGAAATTTGAAAATAAAGTATTTAACTATTAGAAAATTATTTTCATTATTAATAAAAAAAAACTACAAATGAATGAATGAAATTCGTGAATTAATTCATGAAGAACTTCGTCAATTTATTCATCAATAAATTGACGAACTTCTTCATCAATTAATTTACGAATTTATTGGTAAACAGTGTGGTTTTACTCTGCTAGTACTGCTACAGACTTTGTCAAGTTTTTTGACGTATGAATCAGTTCTACCAATGAATCAAAGAAGCAAATAAATTTCAAAAATGTCACCTTTCCACTCATAATTGTAGTGATACAACAGCGGTACCGTTCTGACACATATTATATAAATATTAGTTTTTGTAAGTAACAAATCAGTAAAAACAATGCAAAACTACTACGACGCCATACAATTATTTACATATTCCAATAACATAACCTCATTACTGATCTGAGGCTGGAAATCTGTTGGGTTGGTACTTCCGAACTTCACGAAGAAATTGACGAAAATTAGAACATGCTCTAATTCGTCAAGAACTTGATGAATAAATTNNTTAGAGCATGTTCTAATTTTCGTCAATTTCTTCGTGAAGTTCGGAAGTACCAACCCAACAGATTTCCAGCCTCAGATCAGTAATGAGGTTATGTTATTGGAATATGTAAATAATTGTGTGGCGTCGTGCTAGTTTTGCATTGTTTTTACTGATTTGTTACTTACAAAAACTAATATTTATATAATATGTGTCAGAACGGTACCGCTGTTGTATCACTACAATTATGAGTGGAAAGGTGACATTTTTGAAATTTATTTGCTTCTTTGATTCATTGGTAGAACTGATTCATACGTCAAAAAACTTGACAAAGTCTGTAGCAGTGTAAAACCACACTGTTTACCAATAAATTCGTGAATTAATTCATGAAGTACTTCGTCAATTTATTCATCAATAAATTATCAATGTAAAACACCTATTACAAATGGTACCTACTCTTGGTAAAACCGCTGAAATGCATCGTTTTTGAAAAAAATTCTTTTAACCAATTTTAACTGAGACTAACTAAGATATATTTACTCTGTCTTAAAAGTATTTGTTCTTTTTACGTTAAGAAGTTTGCTTAATACTGAGAATAACTAAGAATTTTAGAAAGCCCCTTCCTTACCCCAACTAATGCTAGCTTTTTAAAATGCTTACTAATATACTAATCTGAAACCATGAATCTATATAAATGTATTCTTTATATCGTTATTCATAGAGCTCGTTTAGAGCTGGCGCCATCTAAAGAACTAAAATACAAAATGTAGAAAGAAAGGATCATAATGATCGAACTACACTAGAACCGTATTAAGTTTGCCATTATGTCACGAGTGTGTCCTAATATCAAAGACAGTCGTTGCGGACGTGAATTGATTATTAAACACGCGAAAAAGAGATACAATGATGGCATAAATGTCTTCATAGTCTCAATCTATCACAGACAACCGTTCTAATATTTTATGTGTATTAATAAGAGTGAAAGAAAATGGAGGACGTTTGTTGGGTATTAGTTTTAGACTGTAGTTTGACTAGTGCACTTTTTAAAACAAAACAGAACTGACACTCAGATTAAAAATTTGACAGTTGTTTTGATCACGCACGGAAATCGTCTCCGCACTAACTATTGTATATATTATTTTCTGAGCGTTGAAATATCGATTTTTTGGCGTATTTTCGTATCCAGTATCTAATACTAGTATTAAAATTTGCGAGATATCCAGACTTGGGAATTGTCAAGATGACATTTCAATTATATAAAAAGAGTGACTAATTTGACTAGGATTTTTCGTCTTACAATTAGTTCATACGAATTTGCTTGTGACGCAATGGAAAAGATGCAGCGGTTTTAATTATTTTGAATTTGAATTTGTTCATTTTTATAGTATCTATGTAAATAGTACACAAGGATCAGATTCGGTCTCGGTCTGTACAATTTCAACTATGAAAATTTGCTGCGGTAGCCTATATATGTGATGTCACACTAAAAGACTCATCTATATTGCCAACAAAAGAAAAAATAAAATTTAATTTTTATGTTCCATTTTTTTATTTAATACTTAGGTACTCTACAATAAAATTAGGTACATTTTCAAACATCGAATTCAGTTTTTCTGGCTTTTAAGTTGGCAAACTTTTTAATGATATCGTCTTTTGAAATTTACTTTCGATTCGATACTTATTAGTTATTATGGTCAAATTTGTCAATCTATCTAGGGTTGATCGTAAATAGTTTTCTATTAATTTCAATTTTGAAAACGACCTTTCGACTTCTGCTTCACAGGAAGTGTTCCATTAAAAAAATGTTAAGATGGTTTAAAGTTGACTACATTCGGCATTAAATTTCTACCACCCTGTATGAAATTAAGTCATTTCGATATTATGGCAGGGAATGTTAGAGTTTTAGTTATGTCCCGTATAAATTTTATCGCTCTAACTGTATTATTGTAAAACACACACCTTTTTGAATTAGGCAGTGCTTTTTTAATTTTTTTGAAAAAGATTAAATGTATCAAAAACGGTTAACTTGAAGAATAGGAAACCTTTATGAAAGTTCACCTAAAAATTGCAATAATATACAGGGTGTTCCATTTAAAATAACGAAGATGACGTCAACATGCCTGAAAACACTATTTGCCAAATTTTCAAAATTCAAATCGAAATAGTCTCTGAAATATGTCTAATGTCTCGTCACCGTGGCACACCCTGTGTACTAGTACTCAAATCATAACTATGTTGATGAAGTTAGTGTTTCACAGGGTGTGTTTTGTTTTAGTGGCACAACTAGATTCTCTCTCCTTACGAATATAGGTAATATGTAGAGCACTATGATGTTCTTTAAGTACAAACAATTATTTAATGATCTTTTTGAATTAATATATTTTTATTTATTTTCCATAATACTCGTAATAAAATTCTATATTTCATGCTTATCAATTTATTCGACATTTTATTTTTAAACACTATCAGTTTTCTCCTCTCTTCCTGGTTATTCCTAATGTTATTGATAAATATCTTTAATCAACCAAATGCTTTCACAAACATAGGAAGTGAAAATTATGGCGTATTTTCTATTACGCATGTACTTGTTATACAATATACAGTTTGAACGGTATGTGGGAGTTACAAATGAAAATTTATTGACTAGTAATAGAAGGCAATATTTTAGGTAATACTATAACAAGAGGTGGTGTTAGTATTACAACCAGGATGTTGAAATACCACGGAAGAAATAATATTATCAAAGATCCAGTATTCAAACTGGCAATCATCTTTGGTATAATACCTTACTGCGGCTATAAGAAACAAAAACTGTCAGCATCGCATAAACGTTTATGCAGATTATATGGATTATTATTATCAGGCTTGGTGATATGGGCAGTAAGCATCACTTATTATAAAATTTACCAAGGAACAGCCAGTGCCGCTCCATTTTTGGCAGGTTTAGAGATTTTGGTGATAATATGTTTTACGATGTTTTCTCTGGTAACGACACTGGGAGCTTCATTTTGGGATATGAAGTCGTGGATGCAATTGCTTAAATTATTGTCCCAGAAAGAACCCATTAAATGTGCAAAGAAGACATTTGATTTTTCACAGTTGCTTCTCATTATCGGAGTTATATTTATATTTATTTTATTCATATCTGTGTTTTATTCGTTAGGAATTTATTTTGCTGCACACATACTGACGTTTTATCCTACAAGACATGTAGCTTTGTGTTTAATGTTTAATATTAATACATCGATAAGAAAAAAGTATGCTATTATTAAAAATACACTTGTAAAGATAAACCTTTGCACGGTGATTAAAAACAGTACTATAAAAGACCTACGGGAAATAAGGAGGATCTATATGGATGCTGACAGAATTGTGGAAATTTTTAATGTAGTATTTGGATGGCCTTTGATGATACTTTACGCACAGTCTGTGGCAAATGCACTGCTTTTTCTGGGAGTACTCACGGATCGAGGTGTAAATATGATCTTGAATAAGATTATATCTAGTGATATAGTCATCTTGAACGCATTTTATACAGTTATGTCAGTGGTAAGTATATTCAAATTTTAAGGTGACGGAGTGTTGAAATTAAGGGAAAATATAATTTGCCCCCAAGCAAATGTAAATAACACAAGTTATTATTCATATAATTGAATAAGTAGCTTGGTATAAAAAATGTACTCTGAATATGTACAAAGCCTTAATTACTTATAAATCCATACTACCACATATAACAATAACTTTAGAAACTATGCCGTCAATTCTTGTTGGTGCAGGTGAGTAAACCTGTCCACCAAGGGGGGTGGTTTTCGGCAAAATATTTTTGTACGGCATTTCTAAAGTATATAGGTTATACAAAAAAAATTAACCTCGACCTAATGCAGTGCAAAAATAGCAATACCGGAAGCCAGGAAAATTTTTGATTTTCTGAAAATTTTGGCCCGGTTTTTAATGATTTATTACAGTACGGCATTTATTCTGCAAGTTTAGGATTGATACGTAGATAATTTTTTTAGTGACGCCGTACGTATCTTCTGATACAGGGGTTAGAAATGCAGGGCACAACCCCTTATGGTTTTTTAACGGCATATTACTTAAAAATTATTTTACATCTTAAATGTTTTAGCAACAATGCCGACTATTTTTCAATGATCGGAAACCATAAGGGTCAGAATATAAGGGTTTGCATCCGGGGTTTCTCTGTCCTGTATCGACAAATATGTACGGCATTACTGAAAAATATTTCTATATGATATTGTAAGTCTTATTATAGAAAGGCCGTACAGTAGTAAATAATTTGTGATAAGGAGAAAATAGTAGTAAAAATAAAATCAATTTTTGCAAGTAATACTTATTATCAAAAATATATTTCAAGCCATTTAGAACCATTTTTTTTGTTCGGCATTTTGTTTTTGTTGATTATTGTTGGCAGTATTAACAAAATATATTAATGCCATACAAAAATTTTTCACCGTGAAA